AGAGAGAGAGAGAGAGAGAGAGAGAGAGAGAGAGAGAGAGAGAGAGAGAGAGGTTGCATGTGGCACGTAGCACTGCGCCATGTGGCTGTGCACTGGGACGCACCACTCCCAGTGAAAGCCTGGTTGGGGTCCGTGTGTGGCAGCGGCCCGCCACGTGGCATTGTTTTTTTTATAAATATTTTGTTGTTCTTCTTTGGAAAGAGAGAGAGAGAGAGAGAGAGCGAGAGAGAGAGAGAGAGAGAGATTTGCCTGTGGCGCGTGGCTGTGCAAGATGTGCCGGCGCGCTGCCACGTGGCACTCCCAGAGACCTGCCACGTGGCTTCGTTTTGTTTATTTTTTCATTCGGGCGCTTTCCACCAATTATCCCTTTTTCTTCTTCCTCCTCTTCATTTTCTCCTTCGTTATTTCTTTCTTCTTCCTCATCTTCCTCGTCTTCTTTCTGTGGCTTAGGATAAGCCGATGTGCACACCTAACGCTGTGACACGTGTCACCTTCTTCACTCAAGCACACAGTCCCTACTCTTCCCTCCCACATCCAATCATCCGATTCTATACAATGCCAACATCCCGACCCATTCATCCATCTACGAGTAGTACGTCGAGTATGAGAAAGTGACCCGTACCACATCTGGATTCGCCACAACATTCTCTATCATACATCCACATCTGCCACAGCTTGGTGTGAGGACGTCCACATGCAACAGGTACCAGCATCATTCATTCGGATGTATTTCTTTGGGGTGGGGAGGGAGGGAGGCGGGGAGAGAGAGAGAGAGAGAGAGAGAGAGAGAGAGAGAGAGAGCATGGGAAAAGGCCAGAAAGAGGTGAGAGAGCAGCCCGACATCAGGAGAGATCCGACGTGCTAAAAAATAGAAGGGCTGCAGGCTAGAAATTGAAACAGGATAAGGAAAGAAGAGGGATGGGCACATCGTGTTTTTTTGTTTTTTTTTTTGTTGGTTTGCTTGTTTTGAAAAGGGTCTACGGCCTTGAGATAATATCATGCAATTGATATGTTGCAACTGCTGTTGCTGCTGCTGCAGCAGCATTTGCGGTTGTTGCAGCTCAAACAACTGCAGCTCATGATCTGCTCTCATCCCTACAGCGGATCTCACAATCAGATCAGCATCTCCTATGATTAGATCTAACACCGAGATCGGTACACCAGGTTTGAAGTTGGGATCAAATGTTGGGATCTCAAGCTTCAATTTATCATCAGAAAGGATGCAGTGATCTTATTCAGACCACTATCTGATGGGATGCAGATCTGAACATCAGATTTGTTGCTGGGATCAGCTGAATGAGATCTCGGAATTGTAGTTTATCATCGGTAATTATTGCTCATGACAAATTACAATTCTGAGATCTCATCCAGCTGATCCCAGCAACAAATCTGATATTCAGATCTCAATGTGAGATCATATCCGGACATCAGATCCTATGTCTCCAAGAGATGGTCAGATGGCAGGCGTGGAATTTATTTTCAGATTCCATGCTTGATATCTATCACCAGGTTTGATATCATGATCACATCATCAGATCTGATCATTAACTCCAGGCATGAGATCTGACCGTTTCATCCTAAGATCAAAACTCATGACCTCTAGTTGGTACACCCATGAACTCTTGAAATACAGACAGTGTCACGAGTTTGAATCCAGATACATTCTGGTGAAGACCTTAATGACAGTTCAATGATCTGGGGACGGTCAGTTCAATGATGATATCTGAAGGCCGTTGAGATCCGAACGTCACATCCGATGACGAGGTCCCGTTATTGGATGCAACCTTTAGATCTGAACATCAGGTCTGATACACAAATCATGAGATCTGGAGGAAGATGGTGAGAGAGAGAGACTAAAAGTTGTTGTTTCTTTTATTGACGTTCTCAAATTGCAAATAACTGCCATCTTTTCGGTATTTGATGGCTTTTTCTGTTTCCACTACAATAGCTTTAAGCACATTCTGAGTGTTGCGACCCATTTGTGCTTTTCTGTGCAGGTCTGGGACAATTCCGCTTATTCCAACGTGGGAACTCGCGGAACAGATCCTATAGTCATGGAGGCGGGAGAGGGAAGAGAAGATGGAAGGGCAGGAGAAAGAGGACATGGTGCCGGGGTAGGCGGGGAGGGATTTCGTCCATCGGTTATGTCACCTGTCTACGCGAGCAGTCTGACCCATGCGCGTTACAATGTTAATGTTCCTCCAGATGATGCACACGATTATCCTTCCTTGTCAGATTTGCCAGCTCCGACACTTCAGCGTTTAGTTGCTCAACTTGTAGAAGTTGTGCATCAAAAAGACAAAGATAAACAAGTGGAGATAGAGCAGAGACAGAGGGACAGGGAGTATGAGTTGCAGCGAAAAGAGGTGGACATGCAGCGGAGAGAGGACGAGGTTCAACGCCTTCGTCATGTATGTGTGTCATCAGCACTCCCTCATGGCCAGGCTTCAACCTCTGCAGCACTTGAAGCACACCCCTCTACTTCAGTGCCTGACCATTGTGTTCTAGCCTCTTGGGAGACAACACGGGGGTCACTTCCATCCACACGTCAAAGGAAACGTGATGCAGCAGTTGCATTTGCTGAGCTTGGTAGTGGTGATGGCCTTCTTGTTGATGGTTTTGCTGGCTGTATCAACCGACGGAGTCATCCTGCTCCTCTGATTAGAGATGGAGACCATTTAACAACTATATCCTCCCTGGGTCATAAACCCCGACACCTCTACAACCCTTTTTGAAAACAAAAACAAAAACAACTATGGATGTCATGCGTACTGCGCTCAGGCAATGTGCAGTGGCGGAGTCCTTCGAGTTCTACACCAAGACATCAAATAAGGAGTTCTATGGCACGTGCTCGCATAGTATGTGCTCGTGGACCATCAGAGCTCGCACCATGATGAAAGAAAATCCTTTAACAGTGAAGATCAGTGCACACCACTCAGAGGCATGTCGTGCGATGAAGAACACGGTGAATTGGCATGCTGATCAGAAATGGGCGGCGTCTATCCTCGTGGACCATTTGCAAGGCGGTTGTGCACTCCAAAACAGTGTCAAGATTTGATCAGCACCATCCACAAGGTGGTTCTTCATATAGATGCAGTACGCAGGGCACGTCTCCCAGTCGCTGCCCTCTCGATGCTTTTGGGCGATCCCTCAGAGGGGTACACATTACTACCAGCTTCGTGCCGACTGTTTGAGAGAAGCAATCCGGGTTCAGTTGCGAGCTTCGAGTGCGATGAGGAGGGGATGTCCGCATGTTTTTTGTTTTTGGAGCATGCCTGCACGGGTTTGTTCACTGCCGTTTTTTTCTGGAGATTGACGGTACTCACACGAAAGGCTCTCTTCGGGCCGTTTTGGTTGCAGCAACAGGGATTGATGGCATTGGGCGTCTTTTTCCTGTTGCATTTGCCATCATTCCTGCAGAGCAAGGGCTACACTGGGTTTGCTTTATGTCACGGCTGAGGTCAGTATTGGAGAACGTAGGAGCGGATCTTACAGATCTCACTATCTTGACTGACAGAGGTCGCGGTCTTATCGAGAGTGTGCGGGATGTATTTCCGGATGCGCATTATGGTCACTGCATGCGACACATTTTTGCCAACGTGTCGAAGGAGTGTCATGCTTTAAGGCGTTTTGGGAATCTCCTTATATATGCTGCGCGTGCGAGCAAGCACAGCAGTTTATGAGCATTGGCTTTCGGTCCTCCGTCAACATGCAGGTAATGAGGCTGTTGATTTCATGCTCAAGAATGCCCCTCCTGAGACATGGGCGACAACTTTGTTCAAAGGATGTCGTTACGGACATGTGACGACGAATGTTAGTCACTGAACAACGTTTTGCGACCCGCACGCAAGCAGACACTCATTCAGCCTGTAGACACTATTCGTCGTTTGTTGCAGAGATGGTTTTATAACCGTGGTCCGGATATCAAGGCACAACCACAGGGAGCGAAAGTGCATAGGGCTACAAGTACACTTCTTCATAGGGCTACAAGTACACTTCCTCACATCACTCAGGAGAGAGGTTCAACATTACATATCCGACCCAGATCTCTCTACCAGGCCTCACGCTCCTGCTATTAACAGGTTACTGGGCAATCCCCCAGCACCAGCCAGCGCCGTTCTGGCATCGAAAAACCAACGGCTCCATGAGTAAACAGCATTGAAAAAGCCTAGACTGCTTTGCAAGAAGTACCCAAGGTCCTAAAGAATTCTCAAGACTACCCTAGGAGTGAACCGCAGCGATCCTACAAGTGCTCAGAAGCCCTCGAAATCCCTAACGCACCCTTCCGAGGCTCTCCAACACTCCCTGCCGAGCTCTTCCAGGCCTCGGTAGGTTGGAGGGTCTCCAGGGGCGCAGCGCTACCGGGAGCGCTGCGCCCGGCTCGACCGGCGCTCTCACACGCAGTTTCGCACGGTGCGTTTTCGTTGGGAGAGCTTGACCTGGGCCTTCATGGTGCGTCTTTGCGGCGCGTCGCACTGCGCAACGAGGGTGGCTGGGAGTTGTGGCGTGCGTTTTTGCTATCGTTCGGAGTGGTCATATTGTGCGAACGTCATGCTTCCTTTGACGCGCTCTCCCTGTCCGTTCAGAGGTGGTCAGCTTCGTGCATGTCATAGGGACAGACAGCACGTGCGGTAGTTCGAGTTACAAGTGAATCAACGCCGACTGGTTGTTTTTCTGTCGCGAATGAGGCTGCCTATGAGATGATGCGTGGGGCGAAACTCTTCCCTCTTCCTCAATCATGGTAAGTGTTTGGTAAGTGTGGTGGCTTGGACCCCCTGTGGCGACTCGCCAGCGGGTTTGGCGAGGGGGAGGCGCACTGTTTTCGATTCCTTGGAATTGAAGATGGTCGATCATGCCTTTTGGAGTTAGCGTTGTCTTGAGCCGAGAAGCTAGCAATGGGAGGAAGGGAATCTTTCCTTCCCTAAAGGCGCAGGGGTAGGGTTTGAAGGGAGGGAAGGAAGCGGCAGAAAGTGGTGGTTGAGGAAGTAGGGATAGGGGTTGTTTGTTATCGAATATGAATCCACAAGTGGTCTACATGCACCTTCTTCTTGGGAAATAACCACGCCCTCTTAATCCGGGTGATCTATCTTTGTTTCATAATTGAGGATAATCTGAGATCGCGTTTTATGATTCTCTTATGATTCTTGATTCGTTTTCCTCACGCTGTTCATCTGGTATTTTCTTGTTAGATTTTGCGATCGATACGGTTTGTGCTGTGGTGTTTGGTCTAAGGATTGATGCTCTCCGATTAGATATTAACCTTCGATATTGAAATTTCTGATTTTCGTTCTGAAAACTTTTTCGAATAGCTGTTTTCAATAGTCCTTTATGTTGGTTCCTGGATTTGATCTCAATATTACTCCCTCGAAGAAAAATCCTATGAAATTCTTACAAAAACTTCTGACTCTTTACAATTGTGAGTCCGCTTTCGGACAACCCAGATAAAATTCCTGAAATTTACATCTCAAAATTTTGTTTCTGAATTTTGATTTCTAAAACTGATTTCTTAGTGTAATTTCCGGGACTAATTTTGCACCGATTTGTCTCACAAAATTGATGCTTGAAAACTTTCATATAATTCTTTTGAGATTTTTTCGTTTTTTCAACCTGTTCAACCTATTCTTGCTTGTTTCTCACTATTGGTTAAGGAGGGTGCTGGTTGCGGGGGTATGATGGTAAGACGGAGGGGAAGGACGCGCTCTTTGGGAAGGGGCTGACTGCAGAGTGGAATTAGGGTATAGCAGCAGGGGAGATGGTGGCCTCACTGCAGTAAGTCTTACCGGAGTAAGGTTGGATAGGTTTGGGAGGTGAGTGCTATCAGCCCCTTCTTGGGCTTGTATCTATGAGGATTCGCACTGATGGGTGGAAGTTCGTAGGGGGGTGCAACAAGGGAAGGGCCTTAGTCTTCGTCAGTAGGTCAGAAGGACGTGGTTGGGACGATGCAGTCCGGTGCTGGAGCGTTGCTCTGTAACCTGGGGGAGCGTGAGGCTTGGGGAGTTCTGTCGAGGGAGGAAGGCAGAACCAACACGTTCGACGCAGTCGTTGCCAGGGTTTTATCCCTGTCACCTAGGGGTGTGCGGCTAACAGGAGTTGTCGAGGGAGGAAGGCACTCCTAGCCGACTATACCAGGATGGTCGGTACCGGGGCAGGTGGTGCCCACTGTGCCCTGTAACCCTAGCATATGGGGTTATGAGACCTGTCGTGTTTAGGTTCGAGGACTGATCACGGGGACTTTGTTTTTTTCTCCAATTGTTGCATGGAAGTTTGCTAGTCGATGGTTTCGGTTCGGAATCCTTGATTTCAAGCTTGTTTTGCGGTGCCTGGTTTGATAATCTCAGTTGGCTCTGTTTTTTTCATAAGTAAGTTGTTGGTGGTCTTTAGAGTGTTTAGGACCTTAGGGACTCCTGGCAACTTGTCTTAGGCGATTTTGATGCTGTTATACTCAGTGACCTGCGGTTGTTCGATGCCAGAACGACGCTGGCCGGTGCTGGGGTGTTAGCCCTGTAACCTGTTAACGCAGGCGTGGGGATGCTTTGGGCTGGGCATCCTAAAGGAAAAACAGGGGCTGCTGTCGGGACGACGCTGGCCGGAGCTGGGGTGAGTCGTGTTGCCCTGTGACCTAGCAGGGTGGGGGCATGAGGCCATGGAGAGCTCGGCAGGGCAGAAGACAGTATTAGAAAATTTTAGAGTGTCTTTGTGCGGGGTTCCAGGGGTTCTAAGTATTTGAAGGACTTCCACTAATTGCTGAATATGAGAAGATGGTGGGTTATCACGCGTCCTGCCAGTGAAGGGGCTAGCTGGTAGGATGGGAATATGGTACAGCAGCAGCAGAGATGGTGGCTCTGCTGCAGTCAGTCTTGCCAGAGTAAGGTAACAGTGGATTGATGGGGCATCTTATGAGTCGTTTATGAGTTTTGCTTAATCATGAAGTTGTCATAGACAGATCTGAAGTAGCTCCAAATTCTTTGAGCCTGGCCTCGGTATCTGCATTTCCAAAACCCCATCCTTAGGCCAATTGGACTTTTCTAGTAGGTTCCTAGTTCTCATTTTCTGTGAAACCGCACGCTGATTGAGCGCGCGGTCCGCGCTAAAGATTTTGAGCGCCGCTCAATCCCGCACTCAAAGCGCCTTGAGCGGGGTTTGAGCGGGCGTGGAAATATTTTTTTGGGGGGTAAAAAATGCTCAAAAAAATAAAATAAAAAATATAGGGTTGTAGATCTCTTTGAGATCTACAACCCTATGTTTTTTATTTTATTTTTGAAGGTTTTCTATATTTTTAAAAAATCAAAAACGTAAAAAGAAAGAAAAAACCAAAAAAATAAGATGAAATGAGTGGGTTTTTCTTTTTTTTCACGGAGATTGTTTGGTAGGCAGCCAATAAACAAAAAAAAAAATTAAAAATATAAGGTTGCAGATCTTTTGGAGATCTACAACCCCGTTTTTTATTTTTATTTTTTAAGTTCATATGTATGTTAAAAAAAATGAAAAACACAAAAAACAGGAAAAAAAACAAAACACACTCATAGATAACCGCCCCCACAAACACACACACGTACGCACACACACACACACACACACACACACACACACATAGACACCCCCCCCACACAAACACACACACACACACACACACACACACACACACCTTCACACATATACACATACACATAAACACAAACCCA